TAAATTAATTTTTTGAAATTCTTCTATAGAAACTTCAAGAGTGCATCTATCAAGACTTTAATAGATTTATAAGTCAGTTTGCGTATTGCTAGATCAATTTCTTTAATAACTTCTCAGAGAAACGCCAGTTACCTTTTTAACAATTCCAAAATGAAAAAATCAGAAATGGGTCTTTTGACCCGTCTGGTAGTTCGAGTGTTAAGCAATTGGGACACTCCGGTCATTGGTGAACATGGTGGCAGTCAACGTGTTAAATCAATTTAATAATTCAACAAATATTTCAAGTAAAATATCGAAAAAACGAGGCCAGAAAGGCTAACAGCTTTAACATTTAATCGACAGGTCGGGTAAAAATATCCGTTTAAACTTTGTTGCAGATTGAAGTCATTTCTATATCATCACAATACTCAATTAGTGGCCGGTTAAGTATTCAGATCTATATTCTAAAAATTATGTTAAGAGTTCGTAAATATAATATTATATTTTGTAACTTTAAATGGCAATGTCTATACCATTCATTTCATTTTCTTTATATAAAGTGTAGAATTGTTGTCATCACAAATGCATGATGCTGATAGTGATCGCATTAACCTATTGCACTATTAGTTCAGCATTGAAATGGCAACATAACTTGAACACTATTTTTGAACTAAGAATTTGTACCTTGATATTATGCATGTCATAATTTTATCATTTGCAAGCTCCTATTCTATGCGTTCAACACGAGTCTAATTCTATGTTATAAGCTAACGAATTTCGGGTAAGCCGAATATTCTGGCACCCGATTAATTCGCGGACGAATATTCCGGTGGGAAATTAATCATGGCTACCTTTTCATTCGACGAAGTGTTTCATATCGTGGGATGATACTCTGAGTAAGGATAACGTCGCCGCTTGTCTCGGAAACCGCGAGTCTAGGAAATAATCGTCATAGCGAAACGATGAATGTTACAAATTTCTTAGCTTATCATCTCGGGATGAATGATTGCGTTAATTACTTTCGTGATGGATAGTTTGCAAATCTTTATGTACATTTATATTTTCGAAGATTATTTTGTATAATGTAAAATGGAGAAGAAATTTATGTTGCTAATTAATTATTTGTGATAGCAATGAAGTATGAATGTTATTAATGTTTATCGATATAAATGTTCCTTTGGAGTTTACAAAATTTCATATGTTACAAGTACACTATGATCTGCATTTTAGTGATGAGTCTTATATTTAGATTCAATGAGTTTCATAAAGTTATATTTTCATACATCAATTTACTAATAAAGATTAGTTCGATAACTACGATAGGTTTTGTTGAAATAATAGATAAGTGTTAATGATAATATGTGTTGGATGATTGAACGAAACCTCTTAGGATTATTAGAATTTTGTTTGAAGAAGAAATTGTGGAAGAAATTGAATGCCTTCAAACAGAAGTTAAGCATATGTTAAAAGGATTTAGCGAACTTTCGAAAGGTTAAGAAGTCAAAAGTAATGCAGGGTTCGCATAACTTTATACATATACTACATATAAATGTAAATAAAGTAAGTTTAGTAAACGTTGCAGTTGCTGCATCGCAAAAGTTGTATTCTGAGTATTAAGAGGCAATATTTTCCATTGTTGAAATTTTCAATATCGTGTGTAATAGAAATAACATTTCTAATAAGCTACTTGTATTAGGTATCTTTATAAAAGCTTTTATTTCAATAATTGGTGTAGGTTATTACCTGACTCCGAAACTTTATGTATCTCAAACCTGCAGACTCTTCAGAAAATTGTAGGGCACAAGTTTTAATATAAGTTAACTGAAGAATATCTTTATGAAAATGTATATTTGCATACACTTCTACAATTTACTTATCTTTTCCCTTGAAGTCATTAGCGAGTGATTACGTTTTCTTCCTTGATTTTTGATGACAAAATTAAAGTAGAAGCATTACAGTTCTAATTTTTGAGTTCCAAACGAGCTGATTCTAAATATTACAGACCTAATTAAATATATTATTGAGCAATAATTGTAATCAAGATGAACATTATAAAAAAAATTAACACTCTTAAAGAAAAGATTAAAAATCCGTAACCATCTAACGCAAATTAAAGTTTTCAAATCATATTCCCCACGTATCGGTGTTAATATAATATTGACAATAATAAAAACCAAGCAATTGACACACGTAAGTGTCCCTTGAAAGAATGTTCTCCACGCACTCACAGCAGTGAACTATCAGGCAGCTTGAAATATTAGAAAAATCTACTTCTCGCTTCCATTCAAACAAGGAAAAGAAGGAAAGAGAGAAGAAAGACGACAGCATTAAAACGTTACAGGGGAACGCTTTGAGCCGGACTCGTCCCGAAGGCATTTTCTCCGCTGAATGACGGCAAAACCACAAGTCTGGAGAACAGATCCCGGTGTCCGCCGGTGTCCGTCAATTCGCGTGAAGAAGCGTTGAATCGTCAAAGGGTAAAAACGGTTCTTTATCATTCCCTTTCTTTCACCGCTCGTGGTCCGCTCTTCGTCCATCCTCGGACCTGGTCCGTACCCTAACTACTCGGATACCATCTCTTCCTCGTACTCCAGCCCAGGAAGAGGGGGATGAAGAAAGAATCCCCGTCGGGAGTAGAGCGATCGAGCCCGAGAGGTTAGGCGGCGTCGGGCGATTTTTTCACGGTGGATCAACTTGTCCGCCATATTAATGACCGCGGTGCTCGGATTATCCGTCGAGGTTACCCGGCGGTCTGCCTCCGGGCTGAAGCCAACTTTCCCGGAAAATTGATTGCGCTTCCTTGAATCTCTTCTCGTCAGGCTGGCTCGATGAGGGTGGGGACAGGGGAAAAAAGGCGTAGACGTCTGGGGAAAAAGGGTGTTGAGGCACGGGGCAGAGCGGCTGACGTCCTCAACGACGACCCCAACGGTTACCACCCTGCTCCTCGAGCATCATCGGGTCGGCGCTAATTATTTTCACCGAGCGTCTCCCTTTAATTGGTGTTTTCTTATCGACTGTTCTCCTACCCGCGGCGCGGCAAGAACTACAAAGCCTTCGAAACACGAATTTCCGCCAGCGACGCTGCAGTAATTCAGTTCTAGAAGTTCGTTCGTCTGCCCCCTGCTCACCACCTCTTCGCCCCACCTCTTTCGCCTGGCCATACCCTAAAACTTTTGAGCAAGCGTCTCTTCGTTTCGTTTAAAGAATGTTTCTCGGACTTCGTTAAAGGGGGTCCTTAAAGCCACGGCCGAGTTCCCCACATAACCGTGCCGCTTGAAATCTTCGTGACGACGCGGGCAGTCTTGAAGAAGGAATACCGGGAAAATGTCCTCGGCTCCTTTGATAACCGGTTGTAACGTCAGTCGCACGGGAAAGCTATTTGCCTTTGGCCTCAACGGGATTATGACTCTTGCGGAGCGGTGACTTCCTTCGACGCTGATCTTTTTGTTGGTGGGATTAAGAGTCCGGCGACTCGTCGCAATGACGATTCATGAGAATACCGTAGCAAGTAATTGACAGACGAATTCATTGGTTAGGTGGTCTACGTCGAGTAACGAGCATGGGTGAAGAACCGGTTGCCTTTTCTTCAATGAGTTTGAGATTCTCTGAAATTAAATCAACGGAAGAATGTAAATTGAATTATAAATTAAGTTGTGTAGTTAATTTATTGGTTTATTAATGTGTTGGATTGAGAAGGTGAATTGTATTATAGGAGTTTTGATTTGTTAAAAGAGGAAATTTTAAATTTGCATTTTTGTTGTTTTGAGAAAAGAATTCAACTTGTTGAGTGAAGTGTAGTTTTAAGGAATATTTATTCTCAACGAAGAGGATAATTTTATTTAATTCGTGATATTAATTTGATCTGTAACTCAATTGTTGAATTAAGTATCATTGTATTCGATACATTTTATAGTTTCATACGGTATTGTTTACTTTCACATACATTTCGATATTTCTGGGCGAAATGTATTTTGCAGCTACCGAATCTAATGAAAATTGCGGGATATTATTGTCAGCACAAATACGAATGAAAATCGAAACGTAATAGTCGTTAATGATGAATATTGTTTTCGCATCGGAGGTTTATCAGGAACCTTTTCAAAGTAGCCAGATCTACATCAGTATAAATGGCGTAAATTTCAATTTTCGTTCAACACCTTTCTTGTTTCATTATGATACTAATGAACTAAACTCTTCTTCGATTTGTTACTCATGTATCGAGAAATAACGCTCGTCAGCGTCACGCCGTTGTTTCATTAAAATTTCAAATGCATTTACTTTACTGCTTAGCATTTGAATCAACACAATTCATTGACAAATTAAATGATTTTATTTATAGCTTTGAAACCTTTTAATAATCGTTGTATATTAAATTATGGAAGGGATAAATTAAATTTAGTTTCCGCTAACAGTAAGAAGTGTCAGATGACAGGATTAATCCATTTGAACAGGCTCAATTACACTACAAGAACTAATAAAGTAATTAATCTATTACATAAATTGAAATTCGATATACTTATTCCGCAAATTTGAATAAGTTACAAGTTATTCTCACCAAATCTCATTAATTACTTGGCCATTAAAATTTTAATTTTATATTCAACATTATATTCTTTGAACTTTATTCCTTAATTAATAATACTGACAATAAAGAAAAATTATATTTGTCTTACTAACAATTTTTATAATTCAGTTTCTCCAGAATAAATTATTCAGGGATATAATTTTGTTACATTTTATCAATTCGTTTGTCTATATAAACCCATCTTGTTCATTATCTGTTTTGCTAAATCTTAGCCATGCTATATATACCTGTATTTTTCATATCGAATTTATTTTTCTTCGAATACAGACTTAAAGGCGTAATCGTTAATGTTCGTTTTGAGAATAAAGAAAATTAATGATGAGATGGAAACGCTTCTCTCTCGATTAATCATTGAATCGTTCATTTTGTTTCGCGCAGCGCGTTTCCGTAATACAAGCAGACGTTCTACTACAAATTTGTCTCATTCACGTTCCAGAACCCTGCGAGAAGACGTATTGTGTCCCGGGAGCGACGTGCGTCGTGTCGAAGAGCGGAAAACCTTTGTGTCAATGCTCGACCGATTGCCCTTCGACTTCTGAACCTGTCTGCGGCACCGACAACGTGACCTACACCAACTACTGCCACCTTACACAGACCAGCTGCCTCAAGAGAAAAAACACACGTATACTCCACCAGGGCGCCTGTGGTGAGTACAATTCTCTTACGTTACCTTTAGCCTGCATCTTCAATTTATCAGAAAGAAAATCTACAATTTTGTTTATCGTACAATTTGATTATCCTTGCTCACCTAACACGAAGACTACATCAACTCTTTTAACATTCTGAAAAGGATTGAAAAACTTTCTTTTGTAAAGATTCAATTTTGTACTCCATTTTTCTAAAATATTTTGTACTCTCATTTTTTCTTTTTTTTGCAATAAAGAAACTTGTATAAATTAAGAGCATATACTGATTATTTAATATTAAATAGGATAGATCGTTAATATAAAAATTATACAAATTTTGGTACAGCTTAATTTTGACTCTTTTAGTTCAGCGGAAGTTATGGACGTTATTGAAATAATATTTCAAATGTTACTGCTAATTTTTACACGGCAAAGTGTTTAGTTTGTTTGAAAACGAATTCGAAAGATATACGAAAAACATATTCTAGAATGGAGTATTTGTTCGAAATGTATTTCATTGCTTAAATTCGTCTTCAATAGTTTCCATTAGTTTGCAACGCTGGTAAAGAATGTGTCTGATATTGAGGAGAGTTTAACATGTCCGCAAAAATGTACAGTATCCATCGAATTCATGAAATCGTTAAGCAATAACGACGCAATATTAAATTTTAATAGAAGCATCCCTTGCACGCCGCAGGGAAGAATTCCGCGTGTGTAACGATCACAAAGGGAAAGAATTCGAAGAGCGTCCGTCATCGAACTGACGCAACGTGTCCGATCACGGACAAAGAATGAAATTTTATGCCGGTCGCGTTAAAAGGGAACAGAGACGAAACGATCATGGAGACGAAATACGGCGAAGAAGAAAAAGTGGATTCTGGGTTGGTACAATTGGTACAGTGATTGCCAAAAGTTCCTGCCTGAAATTTAATCCTATCACACTAGTCGAATACAATATACCTTTTAATGTAAAAAATAACTTTTCTTCGTCTTAACAATTTTACTATGCGAAGTTATTTGTTTAAAAGCAATACAAAATATTATGGTTTTCGTATTACAATATAATCTAAAAAGAAAAGAATAAAAATAATTACATATTTTTATTTACCGAAATAAGAGATAGACAAGGCAATTAAATGAATACAAACCTAAACTAATACTAAAGAAGGGAATCGGCGATATATATTAGTTTCCATTTTATTTCTCTGTTCATAAATTCCAAATATTACCTTTTCGAACTCTATTGATTTCACTATACACGCACATAACTTTCATCACAGACATATATTAACTTCGAATCATCAAATTCGCCTTTCATTTCGACCACAATAAACCAACTCAACAAGCCAAACCGAAATGCCCGAATGCGCATAAAGATTTCACAGGTTCCCGTTTTTTGTCACAGCAAAATGTAAGTTATAGAAACCTCCGTTACAAAAATATCCTGCGCTAATTGACAGTATCGAAAAATGCTCGACGCGCAATGAGTTAAAACTGATCCCAGTTTTTTTTCGTGACAGTATTTATTCGCGAATAAACACGATAGAATTTCGTTCGGTCCGGAAACTTTCGGCTGACAGTGTACGCGGAAACGAAGCTGGGCCGGCTCACGCGCGGCGGAAATAACCGGGACCGGACGCGTTTCTTCGAAAATTACAACCGCGACAAATGGGTTTACGTCAATCCTGATTTCAGGCGCGAGCATAACTCCTCGTTTGTATCCTTCGAGCGTTTCCCCCGCCGTGACGCGCGTCGAAACGTCCAGGTGCCGTATATCCAGGCCGCGTCTCCATTTTCGCGAGAACGAGCGCTCGCGCACGCTCACGGGATATCTACGGGAATAATATGACGTGACGTTCTCTCGAACGGCACCGATACCGGGGACATTATCATTATTGCAGGATACCAACGCAATAAGTTTCCGCTTTGCATCGACAGATCTCACCTGAACGATGGAAATTCTCGCGGAAGTTCTGCGAGCGCCATTAGAGAATCGGGAACAAATCGAATGCGGCCGTTACGCGCCAGGGAATGTTTGTTGGCAGGAGATTCCCTCGTATTTTCCGTTTTTTGATAAGGGGAGAAGGGAACGGTTTTTCTTGTTGTCCGTGGAACGAATCTGCGGTTCTAGTCTCCTTGGTTGTGTTTGAGTTTTATCTGGAACAATCTCTGGGTTTTCCTTATATTTCGCGGAACGTTGTCTTGTCTGCTTTATATAACATTTTAATGATCAATATGCCGAGGAATGTTACGCATTTGTAGGATATAAAAATTTTAAAAGGAAGAGTTTAACACTTTCGTTTTATTTTTAATTTATTGGGAATATTCATTAAGGAAACGAAATTTTATTTAATTTCGGTATTTTTAATATGTTGATAACAGCGTTTGTTTGTGTAAATTCTCACTGTTTGATCGTTATAAAGCCTTTTCAGTAGTTAATGTTTAGGACATAATATTCTAAATCAATTTAAAATGATGTATTAATTGTCAATTTCGAAGCTCTCACTCGTGTCACATTTTTGAGATATGTATGATCGTTTCAAATATATCTATCTCTGCAATAGTCACATTTCAAATTATTCATGTTATCGAGTATCATTTATTGCTCGAATGTTGTCATAATAGAAACAAATGTTTTGGAAAATAGACCAGAAATCTAGATATACACACATCGTCAATTTATTTATTATTCGGATATTAGCGTTGTTATTGGGAATTAATTAATAGCAAACGTTAGTTTCGCACTATGTTCTAGAATCAGGCTGCCCATTAATCGATTAACCTACCATTGTTGACAAATATATTAGTAATACATAACAATATATCACAGAAAAAAGAAACAAACATCAAAAGCAGATGATACTGTGTGAGAAAACAAGAAGAAAGTATGTAATATAATATTTTTTTGTATGTATTTGTATCTATTTTAAAAAAGGCAACCTCAATGAAATTTTATATGAAATAATGAAAATAGAAGATGTTCTAAACATTTAAATGTCATAGACTTAATTACAGTTTTCCTTTTGTCAAAATGAAATCAGACTATTGGAAAACTGTGACAATCTTTTCTTTTTGAAAGAGCAGTAATTCATTTAGTTTGTCTCTAAGTGGACGCGTGTAGGAAATATAAAGTATTTTATTATTTCAATTAGAACTTTGCTGTGAAATTTGCGATGCTCGATAGCAAGAGACTTGACAAGACTGCAAAATAAAATGCAAAGCACAATGAAACTCGTCATATTTATAGTTTTCGTAAAGTGTTATTACATGAAGGGGATTGTTTTGAACGTTACAATCCCTTGCTACAACACTAGATTCTATATTTGAAAATTTTTATTGCAGCATTATTCATAAATTATCTTATATCTTATCTGCATAATATTTTTACTTTTTATTACGTTATTACTATGCTACTTTCATATTACTGACAAATTAAAATTAAATTTCTAATAAACCTTTTTGTAGTTTGCTGTGTGTTGACCTTGCTTAGGTACAACCTTTTGCAATCTAGTCTAATCCTTTGTTGACTGATTAATATATGTATTATATTATAATCTGATAGATAGATATAAATACCGAGATATTTTACACTCCGTTAATTTATTCCAATATAAGAAGTAAGTTTAAATATTTTTTCATAATATGATTCTTAAAATTTTCCCAAGTCTCGCACATCAGAAAAATATCGCTAAGACTTTGGTCTTTTTATTAACACGTTAAACGCTACATTAGTCATCAATGACCACGCTCCTGAATTCCTTGAAAACAATTACAATTTGCAAGAAGACTAGTGTCGAATAATAATGTTTAATATCCTAAGTAAATTAATAATATTGTATTGCAAGGGTTCTGACGCTAAGTAATTAATAACTGTTTCTACTTATCTTTGCCACAAAAGAAGAAGTATTACGTAAAACGCTCAAGGTCTTCGTGACACATAATGTATTAATAAAACGTTAATACTGTAGAAACCGCTGATGCTCCAAACGTATCATTTTGTGAAATTGCCCGCTACAGACGTAACACGCGTGAAAAATAGCCCGACAGTATAGTGTTAATTACATTTATGAATTAAAGCAAGACACCCTTTATAATACGCAGTGGAAGAGATGGTATCAGTAAAATTCGAGGACACACGGAATACACATACGGTATGGGTCCGGTGAAAACCGGAACGGTTAGAAATGTATTTTATCACTCTGGGATCCCTTTTTGCCCGACACCCGTCCGATGGGATCCCGCCGCCATGAATTAACCATCGCCCAATACCCGATTGTTGCTCCGTTAGAAGGCTCGCCCCCGGCCGAGCCGCCGCGCTGATTCTCAAAACGATCTTTTATTCAAACGAGCCTACACGCGCCTTGTATCGACATCTTCCTTCCGCCGGTCTAGGAGCCCGAAGGCCATCCGTGAAAATCTTATGGCTTTCCACGAATCGAATGTATTACCCGGATCCGCAGAGACGGGGCAGCACGGCGGCGAACGGGATCGGCAGGGGGATGTACGTGTTCATGGAAATTACTTGGAATTCTTTCAAGTTCCCACAATTGCCCGAACGAATCGGGACCAGGCTCGCCGGGAAAATTCAACTCTTCTGGGACATGAAGATTGTTCGAATTCTGGGAGGGGTGTACCGTGACATGTATGGTGAATAAAAAGATATTAAATGAAAGGCGGGGGCATGAGTAACCCCGGATGCTTTGGGAATATGCATTTTGAGCTAGAATATGTAACCTGTTCGAATATGTAAATGTTCGATCGACATTCATTTAATTTTAATTGGATTTTTAATATTAATCGCTGAGATTGTTTTTGTTTAAACATTGAGTGAGATTGTGAGTAGGAAGTTGTGAAGGTATACTTGAAATTTATGTAAAGTATAACAATTGTCTTTTTGTATAATAATTTGTATAATTATTTATATAATATTAGAATACTATAAATTGGGTGATAACATTGTACTTCTAGATTACATTTTTCAAATGACTGATGTATAAGTTGATGTTGAATACTTGACCTG